CTTTTCAATTTCCAGGCAGGGCACAATCCCGAATTAACATGTATACATATACAGTATGGAGCATAGCAGGAAGCACCCAATGGATGCTCCACTCTCACATCGATGCTTCTCTCTATCTCCCTCTCCCTTCCTCTCTCTAAAAAAAAAAAAATCAACAAAATATTTTTAAAAATTCCCTGTACCTTCAATCCATTATAGCCATCTTTACCTGTAAAATCTTTAAAAAAAAAAAGACACTACATTCTGCCCGCCATTACCCACCAGACAATAAGCTGCGTCAGGACTGAGTTTACACATAACTGATACTGTCTTCCACCCCCACGGTACCCCAAACAGGCTTTTAAACACAGCCTCTCAATAACTGTCTTTCAGATAAATGGCTTCTAGACGCTGTTGTCACTGGATTCCCGATGAAACTTCAGCTCTGCAGGAAAACTACGAGACCACACATCCAGTGACAAAGATTAGGACTGCAAATTGCCCCCTCTGCCTCCCTCCTCATTTGGCCATTGCCTCCACCACAAAAGCCTTGTGGGCTGGCACTAATGGAGGAGCTGTGTGAATATCAAGTATCAATGGCAGTTGTCAATGGATGCGATAAAGATCGAGGAATTATTGTGAGAGTGGCCAGCAGTCCCGGAGGGAGTTTGCAGCTCCGCAGTCTCACTGATGGGGCCTGGGATGTCTGTCCCACAGCAGCAGCAACGAGCATGTCCCATCAGTGCCAGCAAGGTCAGGAGAGTCCACGTCAATAGACAGAGCACATAAGTACTTTATTGATGAGGGTCTGGCATTAAGCAGCTGAGTATCCAAAGGCCATTTCTGTGACCCCACAGGCAACGTGAAGAAGCCTGTGGAGCTGGGGAAGGGTCCTCTCCGGCACCCACAGTATACTTCACCTCTGCGCACTTTCACTGTGAACTGTGCCATCGCCCTCTGCACACTGGCACCGTGAACTGTACCATCCCCCTCTGTGCACTTACACCGTGAACTGTACCATCCCCCTCTGCACACTGGCACCGTGAACTGTACCATCCCCCTCTGCGCACTTACACCGTGAACTGTACCATCCCCCTGCACACTTACACTGTGAACTGTGCCATCCCCCTCTGCACACTTACACTGTGAGCTGTACCATCCCCCTCTGCACACTTACACCGTGAACTGTACCATCCCCCTCTGCACACTTACCCCCTGCCAAGTGTACCATCTCCCTCTGTGCACTTACACCGTGAACCGTTCACCGCCCCCTCTGTGCACTTAC